CGAGAAGACCGCGTCTGAATGAAACACCCCAAGCTTGGAGCGTCTATTTAAGAGACCCCACCAACAGCCTCGTCATTAAAACCAAGAAAATCATTTCTGATTCAACCGCATTAATTGATCAAGCCAACCAGTTCTCGTTGAAACCTTCTGCAGCCAGGCCACCAAGATTATACGGCTTGCCAAAGATACATAAAGAAGATACACCTCTTCGACCCATTGTCTCTACTATCAACTCCCCCACCTACAAACTGGCTCGTTTTTTGTCTGAAATCCTGCGTCCTTTCACTGGAAAAACCACCTCTGCGGTACTAAACTCTACTGACCTGGTATCGACAATCAAGGGAATTTCCCTGTCCCCAGACGACCTGCTTGTCAGTTTTGATGTGGTTTCCTTGTTCACCAAGGTGCCTGTGCCTGACACCATCGCAATCATTGAAGACTTGGTTCATCAAGGACTGAATGCTGGGGTACCCCCCCTGGTGAGACACTGCTTAACCAATACATACTTCACCTGGAATGGAACTTTCTACAAGCAAACTGAGGGCACCCCAATGGGCTCCCCCCTATCTCCGGTTGTAGCCAACGTCTTCATGGAGAAATTTGAGACTGACGCCATCCAGACTGCCACTCTACGCCCGACCTTGTGGAAGAGGTACGTAGATGACACTTTTGTCATCTGGCCACATGGCCCGCCTGCTCTAGACCAATTCCTCGACCACATCAATTCCATACACCCAGCCATCAGATTCACCATGGAAGTCGAAAAAGATGGCAAGCTACCCTTTTTGGATGTCCTAATTAAAAGGAGACCTGATGGTTCAATGAGCCATTCTGTCTACAGGAAAGCCACCCATACGGATGCTTACCTAAAACCGGATTCCCACCACCATCCATCCCAGAAGAATTCCCTCATCAAGACTCTACACCATAGAGCCCAATGCATCTCCGACCAGGAACACATTGCCAGTGAACTCAAACACGTACGCCAAGCTCCTAAGGCTAATGGTTACTCCGACTACACAATCCGCAAAGCCATCACTCCAACCATCAAGAAGGATCCTGTTGAGGAGCCTTTCAAGACCATCAGCTTACCCTACATTGCTGGGGTCACAAAAAAGATCTACAAAATCCTTTTGTATAGCTGCCATCGTTGAGTAGTTCCTGAATCTTGTTGTTGTATTCTATTTTGTCCATGATTGCTAAATGTGACTGTTGTGTTAGCCGGCTCTCTGTGTTGTATTTATTTAAAAAAAAAAATCATTGCCGTGGTTTTCCCACCCGATGATGATTGCTTGTGTTGCAATGGAAACGTCGTGATTTTATGTATTTGTCTACCCACGTGACTTTACCCAAAGAACCAGAGAGTATGGATCTCTGCAGCCACGAAAACTTAAAATCAATATCCACACGACGCTACACTCTCTCGCTATGACGTCACCTCTCCCTCTGCGTCGTGACGTCACCATTTAAAATCCCCCGCGTCGTGACGTCACCGTTTACATTTTCTGTGTTATGACGTCATCATTTAAATGCCCGCTCTCGCCCCTGCATCGTGACGTCACGTTTTGAACTTCCCGCTGTACGTCATGACGTCATGGTTTAAATTCCCGCTCTCGCTCCCCCTGCGTCGTGACGTCACCGTCCAGTCGTCCCTCAACTTGTCCCCGCCCTCTGCGTCGTGACGTCACGTTTCGAACTCCCCGCTGTACGTCATGACGTCATAGTTTAAATTCCCGCTGTCGCCCCCTGTGCGTCGTGACGTCACATTTCGAACTCCCCGCTGTACGTCATGACGTCATAGTTTAAATTCCCGCTGTCGCCCCCTGTGCGTCGTGACGTCACATTTCGAACTCCCCGCTGTACGTCATGACGTCATAGTTTAAATTCCCGCTGTCGCCCCCTGTGCGTCGTGACGTCACATTTCGAACTCCCCGCTGTACGTCATGACGTCATAGTTTAAATTCCCGCTGTCGCCCCCTGTGCGTCGTGACGTCGCCCCCCCTCCCCTCATCCTTGCCGCTCGCTCTGCGATGACGTCACGTGTTGCTGGGGTGGGGGGGACGCCAAGCCGGTATGCAAATGAGGCTCGCGGATGCCGCCAGCCAATCACGTCGCGTTGCTTGGGCTCGTACTCGCACCCCATTGGCTGGCGGGTCCCCCCAACCCCCCCCCCCGCTGACCCTCATTAGCATATTGTTTACCAGCTCGAGCCGGCTTCAACAGACCGCAGGGCGCGCTGTGGCGGCGGCAGCAGCAGCAGCCGCATCGCCTCAGACGGGAGGCGACAGATACAAATTAAAGTTTCAGTTTAAACAAAAACAAGTTTTGTTGTTCAACTTTAAAAGTTGACGTTGTTCTAGTGGCGAGTGTCCTTGCGAGATGGCAGTGCCACAGCTGCTGATGGCGACGATGATGTTGGCGATGATGATGTTGGCGATGATGATGGCAAAAGTTGGACCGGCGGCCGCAGCCGTAGCGGGTAAGTTTTAGTGAACAACAACCACAACAACCACAACAACAACAACAACAACAACAACCACAACAACCACAACAACCACAAACAACAACAACAACAACCACAACAACAACTACAACAACCACAACAAACAACCACAACAACCACATCAACAACAACAACCACAACAACAACAACAACAACAACAACAACAACCACAACCACAACAACCACAACAACAACAACTACAACAACCACAACAACCACATCAACAACAACAACAACAACCACAACAACAACAACAACAACAACAACAACAACCACAACAACCACAACAACCACATCAACAACAACAACCACAACAACAACAACAACAACAACAACCACAACAACAACAACCACAACCACAATAACAACCACATCAACAACAACAACCACATCAACAACAACAACCACAATAACAACCACATCAACAACAACAACCACATCAACAACAACAACCACAACAACAACCACATCAACAACAACAACCACATCAACAACCACAATAACAACCACATCAACAACAACCACAACAACAGCCACAACCACATCAACAACAACAACCACATCAACAACAACAACCACATCAACAACAACAACCACAACAACAACAACAACATTGCCGCTGGTGGCGTTCGCGACGACGCCGTCTCTGTGCGCGGGTCTTTGTTTGCGAGTGGCACGGACGCTTCGTGACGAGCGGTGAAGTCTTCTCGCCTCCTGCTGCTGCTGCTGATGCTGCTGCTGTGGTTGTTGTGGTTGTTGCAGCGATGTTGTTGCTGTTGTTGTGGTTGTTGCAGCGATGTTGTTGTTGCAGCGATGTTGTTGTTGCTGCAGAAGCAGCGATGTTGTTGTTGCTGCAGAAGCAGCGATGTTGTGGTTGTTGCAGCGATGTTGTTGATGTTGTGGTTGTTGCAGCGATGTTGTTGATGTTGTTGTGGTTGTTGCAGCGATGTTGTTGTTGTGGTTGTTGCAGCGATGTTGTTGATGTTGTAGCGATGTTGTTGTTGTAAAAGCAGCGATGATGTTGTTGTTGTTGATGTTGTTGTTGTAAAAGAGGCGATGATGTTGTTGTTGTTGATGTTGTTGTTGTAAAAGCAGCGATGATGTTGTTGTTGCTGCAGCAGCAGCGATGTTGTTGCTGTTGTAGCGATGATGTTGTTGTTGATGTTGTTGTGTTGTTGTTGCTGCAACAGCGATGTTGTTGTTGTTGATGTTGTGTTGTTGTTGCTGCAACAGCGATGTTGTTGTTGTTGTTGACGCCCTCTGATGGAGTCTGACTGGTAAAGAGCGAGACGCCTTCAAACAATTGAACTCTGCCGCCATTCCCGAGTTCCCTGCCCTGAGGTTGTCGTCCATCGCCGCCCCTCCGTGTCGCTCTGTGGGCCCTCGGTGGATGTACTGGCTCCCGTCACGGGAACGTGGAATTTCCCCCCGCAGTGGCGCTACAACCACAGCCCACGACCCTCGATCTGATGATGTCACTGTTGAGACCGCACACATTCAGTGTTGTTACACTGGCGGTGAATACTGTGGTGGGTGGTGGTGGGTGAGTGGTGGGTGGGTGGGTGAGTGGTGGGTGAGTGGGTGGGTGAGTGAGTGGTGGGTGAGTGGGTGGGTGAGTGGGTGGGTGGGTGAGTGGTGGGTGAGTGGGTGGGTGGGTGGGTGAGTGGTGGGTGAGTGGGTGGGAGGGTGGGTGAGGGTGAGTAAGGGTAAGTGGGAGGGTGAGTGTGTAGGTGAGTGTGTGGGTGAGTGAGTGAAAGTAAGTAGGAGGGTGAGTGGGTGAGTGAGTGAGGATGAGCGTGTGTGTGAGTGAGAGTGAGTGAGGGTAAGTGGGAGGGTGAGTGAGTGGGTGAGTGAGTGAGGGTGAGTGGGTGAGGGTGAGTAAGGGTAAGTGGGAGGGTGAGTGTGTGGGTGAGTGAGTGAAAGTTAGTGGGATGGTGAGTGAGTGGGTGAGTGAGTGAGGGTGAGTGGGTGGGTGAGTGGGTGAGTATGAGTGAGAGTGAGTGAGGGTAAGTGGGAGAGTGGATGAGTGAGGGTGAGTGAGGGTGAATGAGGGTGAGTGAGTGAGGGTGAGTGAGTGAGTGAGGGTGAGTGCGTGTGTGTGATTTGGTGAGTTGGGTGTTTTTAACGAAATGGACATCTGTGAAAAATCGCTGTATCGTTCATCGGATTCCTCCAGGAAAACTAAATATTCTGGGGGAGTGTGATTTGGTGAGTGAGTTGGTGAGTGAGTTGGTGAGTGAGTTGGTGAGTGAGTAGGTGAGTGAGTGATTAAGTAGGTGGGTGAGTGTGTCAGTGTGTCATGATGAAGGGCCATTGCCCGAAACGTTGCCCATTGTCACACACAGTGTCGTTAGTGTTGAGTTGGTGGTCTGTGAATGGGTGGGGACCAGTCATGGGACTCCCCTAGGTCTACTCAGCCTTTTATGATGACCCCGGTGCGGTGAGTCGTAAACATCGCCACTGGGGAGACAAAGGCGGCCGGGCAAGGTGGTGCTACTCGCAGCACTTGCCCCTACAGCCCTGCTGCAGGCTACCTGGGGGAGCTTTGTCTGTGTGTGCATCATAGGTGGTGCTACTAGCAGCACTTGCCCCTGCAGCCCTGCTAGAGGCTACCTGGGGGAGCTTTGTCTGCGTGTACATCATAGGTGGTGCTACTCGCTACTAGCAGCACTTGCCCCTGCAGCCCTGCTAGAGGCTACCTGGGGGAGCTTTGTCTTTCTAGTCGAGTGGGTCGGTGGGTGAGCGTGTGAGACTGAGTGTACACCGAATGGTCAATGCCCGAAACGTTTATTCTGTTTTCCCTTAAAGGCCACACAGAGTGTGTTGTTTTTTTTAACACACACAGACACACACAGACACACGCAGACACACACACACTGACAAACACAGGCACACACACACTGACTCACACGCAGACACACACACACTGACTCACTCACACGCAGACACACAGACACTGACACACACTGACACAAAGACTCGCACGCAAACACACTGACACACAGACACACACACACACACTGACACAGACTCACTCACACACAGACACATTGACAAACACAGACTCACATAATTGAGACAAAGACTCACACTGACAAACACGCAGACAAGCACAGACACACACACACTGACACAAAGACTCCTGACACACAGACTCACACACACGCAGACACACTGACACACACACACACTGACACGCACGCACTGACACACACGCAGACACACACTGACACAAAGACTCACTGACACGCAGACTCACACACGCAGACACACACTGACACAAAGACTCACTGACACAAAGACTCACTGACACGCAGACACACACACACGCAGACACACACACACTGACAAACACACAGACACACACACACTGACACAGAATCATTCACACGCAGACACACACACTGACACACACACTGACACACACACTGACACACACACTGACACAGAGACTCACTGACACAGAGACTCACTGACACGCTCACTGACACACACACTCACTGACACACAGACTCACTGACACGCACACTGACACACACACACTGACACACACACACTGACACACACACACTGACACAGAGACTCACTGACACAGAGACTCACTGACACGCACACTGACACACACACTGACACACACACACTGACACAACGACTCACTGACACACAGACTCACTGACACGCACACTGACACACACACTGACACACACACACTGGCACACACACACTGACACAGAGACTCACTGACACAGAGACTCACTGACACGCACACTGACACACACTCACTGACACACAGACTCACTGACACGCACACTGACACACACACTGACACACACACTGACACACACACACTGACACAACGACTCACTGACACAGAGACTCACTGGCACGCACACTGACACACGAAGCCTGTGTCTTACATAAGCTACATTTCACACCACCACCAGCAGCAGCAAGCAGTCAACAATGTTTAGTGTTTAACTTCCCTGGCTGCCAAAACACACACAACACACTGTGGCGGTAACATTACGTAATCGTCAGCAGCACCAATGTACACAAGCCTGTTATCTCTATAGCCGCAGTTATTAAGATAGTTGGTTGGCAGATCTCGTGGTGGTGATTGTGGTGGTGGTCGTGGTGGTGGTCGTGGTGGTGGTCGTGGTGGTGGTGGTCGTGGTTGTGGTGGTGGTGGCTGTGGTGGTGATTGTGGTGGTGGTCGTGGTGGTGGTCGTGGTGGTCGTGGTGGTCGTGGTGGTGGTGGTCGTGGTGGTGGTCGTGGTGGTGGTGGTCGTGGTGGTGGTCGTGGTGGTGGTGGTGGTGGTTGTGGTCGTGGTGGTCGTGGTGGTGGTGGTCGTGGTGGTGGTCGTGGTGGTGGTGGTGGTTGTGGTCGTGGTGGTCGTGGTGGTGGTGGTCGTGGTGGTGGTCGTGGTGGTGGTGGTGGTCGTGGTGGTGGTCGTGGTGGTGGTGGTGGTGGTGGTCGTGGTGGTGGTCGTGGTCGTGGTGGTCGTGGTGATGGTCGTGGTGGTGGTGGTGGTGGTGGTGGTTGTGGTGGTCGTGGTGGTGGTTGTGGTGGTGGTCGTGGTGGTCGTGGTGGTGGTGGTGGTGGTCGTGGTGGTCGTGGTGGTGGTCGTGGTGGTGGTTGTGGTGGTCGTGGTGGTGGTTGTGGTGGTCGTGGTGGTGGTGGTGGTGGTGGTCGTGGTGGTGGTCGTGGTCGTGGTGGTCGTGGTGATGGTCGTGGTGGTGGTGGTGGTGGTGGTGGTTGTGGTGGTCGTGGTGGTGGTTGTGGTGGTGGTCGTGGTGGTCGTGGTGGTGGTGGTGGTGGTGGTCGTGGTGGTCGTGGTGGTGGTCGTGGTGGTGGTTGTGGTGGTCGTGGTGGTGGTTGTGGTGGTCGTGGTGGTGGTTGTGGTGGTGGTCGTGGTGGTCGTGGTGGTCGTGGTGGTGGTGGTCGTGGTGGTCGTGGTGGTCGTGGTGGTGGTGGTGGTCGTGGTGGTCGTGGTGGTCGTGGTGATGGTGGTCGTGGTGGTGGTGGTGGTTGTGGTGGTGGTTGTGGTGGTCGTGGTGGTGGTGGTGGTCGTGGTGGTGGTTGTGGCTACACGGTGTAGCTTTGTCGTTGCAGGCTGCGTGGAGGGCCGGGGGGAGCTGTACCGTGGCGCCGAGTCGACGACCGCCGGGTCGGGACGCTGCCTCAACTGGGGAGCCGTTGTCAGCAGAGACTACGACACACAGCGGCACCCCGATGGCGACACGGGTACGGGCTGTGTGCGGTGGGGGGCTGTGTGTGGTGGGGGGCTGTGTGTGGTGGGGGGCTGTGTGTGGTGTGGGGGGCTGTGTGTGGTGGGGGGCTGTGTGTGGTGGGGGGCTGTGTGTGGTGGGGGGCTGTGTGTGGTGGGGGGGGCTGTGTGTGGTGGGGGGCTGTGTGTGGTGGGGGGCTGTGTGTGGTGTGGGGGGCTGTGCGGTGCGGGGGGCTGGGGGGCCCTGCCACGCTATGCACCCCCCCCTCGCCACCCAAACACAACAGTGGAAAAGCAGTGTGAGAGTGTGTGTGAGTGTGTGAGTGAGTGAGTGTGTGAGTGTGTGTGAGTGTGTGAGTCTGTGTGTGAGTGAGCGAGTGTGTGAGTGTGTGTGTGAGTGAGCGTGAGTGAGCGAGTGTGTGAGTGAGTGAGTGTGTGAGCGAGCATGGGTGAGCGTGAGTGAGCGAGTTAGTGTGTGTGTGAGTGAGTGAGCTAGTGAGTTTGTGAGTGAGTGAGAGTGTGAGTGAGTGAGCTAGCGAGTTTGTGAGTGAGTGAGAGTGTGAGTGAGCGCGTGAGCGAGTGAGAGTGTGAGTGAGCGCGTGAGTGTGTGAGTGAGCTAGCATGTGTGAGCGAGTGAGTGAGTGAGTGTGTGAGAGCGAGTGTGTGTGAGTGAGCGTGAGTGAGTGTATATGAGTGAGTGAGCGAGTGTGTCTTTGAGCGAACGAGCCTGTGTGTGTGAGTGAGCGTGAGGAGTAGACGTGTGGTGGTGGTGGTGGTGGACATGTGGTGGTGTTGGAGGTGTGGTGGTGATAGTGGAGGAGGAGGACGACTCTTCTGCTTGTGTGTCCACCCCCAGGAGTGGGAGACCACAACTTCTGCCGGAACCCGGACGGTGCGCCGAGGCCCTGGTGCTACGTGGCGCCCGTGGTGGGGGGGGGCTCCCCCGTGGGGGGGGGCTCCCCCACGGGGGGGGGCTCCCCCGGGCCTCACCGGGCCTACTGCTCCCTCACCCCGTGCACCGGTACAGGCAGAACCCGGCTCACTCACTCACTCACCAAACCACCCATCTACTCACCCATTCACCCACCCACCCAACTCACTCGCTCGCTCACTCACTTACCCAACCGCTCACCCATTCACCCACTCACCCACCTACTCACTCACCCACCTACTCATTCACCCACTCACTCACCCACTCACCCACCCAGCTCACTCACCCAACCGCTCACCCACCTACTCACTCACCCACCTACTCACTCATCCATTCACCCACTCACCCACCCAACTCACTCACCCACCCACCCACCTACTCACTCGCTCGCTCACTCACTCACCCACCTACTCACTGGTGACACCCACCCACCCACTCACCCACCCACCTACTCACCCACCCACCTACTCACCCACCCACCTACTCACTCACCCACCCACCTACTCACCCACCCACCTACTCACTCACTCACCTACTCACTCACCCACCCACCTACTCACCCACTCACCCACCCACTCACTCACCCACCCACTCACAGCAGCCACATCAGACGTTACGACATCTCCTCGGCACACTAACTGCTCCACTGCCGCTCGTAGCCTCACTCCGGCACGGCGTGTGGTGACGCTGGCGATGTCTGTGTGGCGCTCGGCACGTGAAGGCCTCAGAGACCGGGAATCGGCGATCTGGCCGACAACGTGTCCAGGGAGGCAGCTCCATGTCCGCACAGCGGCGTGAAGGAGGACTGAAAGCTTCTGTCACGGAGCGATGTGTGTGGGGGGGGGAGCACGGGCGTAGCTTGGCATGAGCTGTGCGTGACCGGGTGGCGTCTTGCGTATGGGGGTGTAAGCGTGGCGCAGAGCTCGCAAACGGGTTTTGATTCCGTACCCGTACCCGTACCCCACCGCACCAGGGTCGCAAATGGGTACCCGTACCCGTTCCCTACCCGTACCCTACCCGAAATGAGTGACAAACGGTGACTCACCAGTGACTCACGGTCTACCCGTACCCGGCCGCACCAGGGTCGCAAACGGCTACCCGTACCCGGGTAGCCGGCTATCGGGTAGGGTACGGGTATCGGGTGCCCGGTTGCGACCTCTGGCGTGGCGTGAAGGTCTGTAGGGGGGAGGGCATTTTGTCCAGGACTGTGAGGGCTGTTTATGCAGCAGCAGCAGCAGCAGCAGCTTGTTGACGGGTTATGGAAGTTGGCACTCACGGACGGAAACTGACAACATCACCTGAGTGTCGGGGTTGATGTCACCAGGACGCTTGTGCCAGGCCAGGTGCACCTTGAGGCTACCACGTGAAGTGTCGAACGCCCGCTGGCAGGAGGTCACGGGGCAGACCCAGCAGGTGCCACGGGTCGACTGACCGAGATGACCGAGATGACTGGCTGATGCACCACCTGTGCCCCCTACTGTGCCAACTTGCTGTGCTTTAGCCACCCGGCGCTCCGCTCGTTGTTGTGAGCGTCGCTCCTCCGCCCTCCGTTGTTGTTGGAGGGCGACTGCCTCCAACTGCCCAGTAGCGTCCTTCACGAGCCTCCCCCACAGAGGCCGATCTTGACACCGCTGGTACCAGTCATCGGCGCACACACACGCACACACACGCGCTTGAGGCAAGTGCTGTTAGCGAGCACCTATGAAGGCCGGCACGGCACATGAGAGGGGGTGGGTGGCCAGCACCACGCCCGGCCGCCTTTGTCTCCCCAGTGCGAGCGATGTTTACTGCACTACACCAGGTACTCATGTTGAGGCTGAGTCGACCTAGGGGAGGCCCAGGACCGGTTGAGAGAATCGTCACCGGTGTTGGCCGTGAGCGGGGATCGAACTCGGGTCGCCGGGTTAGCGGGTTCAGCGTGGCAAGCGCTGCACTGCCGCTCACCACTTCAACACAGACTCACACAGACACACACACACTGACACACACACACTCACACACACACAGACACTCGGACACACACACTCACACACACAGACACACACAGACACACACAGACACTCGGACACACACACACACACAGACACACACAGACACACACAGACACTCGGACACACACACACAGACACACACAGACACTCGGACACAGACACTCGGACACACACACACTGACACACACTGACAGACACACACACTGACACACTCACACTGACACACACACACTGACACACACACTGACACACACTGACACACACACACTGACACACACACTGACACACACACTGACACACACTGACACACACTGACACACACACACTGACACACACACAGACACACACAGACACACACACTGACACACACAGACACACACACTGACACACACTCACACTGACACACACACACACACTGACACACACACACTGACACACACACACTGACACACACACTGACACACACACACTGACACACACACACTGACACACACACTGACACACACTGACACACACACTGACACACACACTGACACACACACACTGACACGGCTCACGGCTTCTCAGCCGCTTAGTGACAGGGGGGACCCCTCCCATCGTGGCTCCGCCTCCCTGCTGCTCCTCCACCAATCAGAGGCGACAACAACAGCGCGGCTCAGCCAATGGGCTCTCGCCGTTACGACGACCGCACGCGGCTACAACAACAACAGCCGAGTCACCGAGCGGGGCGGTGACGTCACCACGGCGCCTTGTGCCAGGCTAGGTGCAGGTCATGGGACAGACCCACGTGGTATAAGTTGACTGCTGTGCCAGGCTAGGTGCAGCAGGTCACGGGACAGACCCAGCAGGTGCTATGGGTTGACTGCTGTGCCAGGCTAGGTGCAGCAGGTCACGGGACAGACCCAGCAGGTGCCATGGGTTGACTGCTGTGCCAGGCTAGGTGCAGCAGGTCACGGGACAGACCCAGCAGGTGCTATGGGTTGACTGCTGTGCCAGGCTAGGTGCAGGAGGAGGTCACGGGACAGACCCAGCAGGTGCTGTGGGTTGACTGCTGTGCCAGGCTAGGTGCAGGTCACGGGACAGACCCAGCAGGTGCTATGGGTTGACTGCTGTGCCAGGCTAGGTGCAGCAGGTCACGGAACAGACCCAGCAGGTGCTATGGGTTGACTGCTGTGCCAGGCTAGGTGCAGGTCACGGGACAGACCCAGCAGGTGCTATGGGTTGACTGCTGTGCCAGGCTAGGTGCAGGTCACGGGACAGACCCAGCAGGTGCTGTGGGTTGACTGCTGTGCCAGGCTAGGTGCAGCAGGTCACTGGCACACGAGGTGGTGGGTGGGTGTCCACCACTGAGGAGCGATCTTCACTCCACCACCACCACCACCAGCTCGTGGACACGGAGGCTGCCGCCGGGAAAGCGGCTTGTCACTTGAGGCAGCCAACAACAACACGGGAGGGAGAGGCTCAGAACCGGTCGAAATATTTTAGTGTTTTTATTTGTCCATGAGCGGGAATCGATGTCGGGTCGACGGGTTCATAGCTCAGCGTGCTAACCACTCACACAGACTCACACAGTCTCACACACAGTCTCACAGTCACACAGCCTCACACATAGTCACACAGTCTCACACACAGCCACTCACACAGCCTCACACACAGTCACACAGACTCACACACAGCCTCACACAGAATCACACAGACTCACACACAGACTCACACACAGACTCACACAGACTCACACACAGACTCACACTCATGATGATGGTGATAGGGTGATGGCGGTGATTATGGGGGTGATAGTGGTGGTGGTGGTGGTAGCGGTGGTGGTGGTAATGATGGTGGTAATGATGGTGGTGGTGATGGTGGTAATGATGGTGGTAATGATGGTGGTAATGATGGTGGTAATGATGGTGGTAATGATGGTGGTAATGATGGTGGTGGTGATGGTGGTAATGATGGTGGTAATGATGGTGGTAATGATGGTGGTAATGATGGTGGTGGTGATAGTGGTGGTGGTGATAGTGGTGGTGATAGTGGTGGTGGTGGTGATGGTGGTGGTGGTAATGATGGTGGTGATGGTGGTGGTGATAGTGGTGGTGATGATGGTGGTGATGGTGGTGGTGATGGTGGTGCTGCTCCTGGGGCTGGTGTTGGGTGGGAGTGTAAAGCACGGGAAGCCAACCAGAAGGTGCAGTCACGTGATGCTGGAGGGGGGGGGGGGTAGGAGGAGGAGGAGGAGGGAGGCTTAGTGGGGGCGGAGAGGAACTTTGCTGACCTTGTAAATCTTCAGGAACAACAACAACCTCCTCGCTCACCCACCCAGTGACTCACCCACCCACCCAGTGACTCACCCACCCACCCAGTGACTCACCCACCCACCCACTCACTAACCTACTCACTCACCCACCCACTCACTCGCTAACACACTCACTCGCCCACTCACTCACTAACCTACTCACCCACCCAGTGACTCACCCACCCACCCAGTGACTCACCCACCCACCCAGTGACTCACCCACCCACTCACTCGCTAACACACTCACTCGCCCACCCACTCACTAACCTACTCACTCACCCACCCACTCACTAACCTACTCACTCACCCACCCACTCACTCGCTAACACACTCACTCGCCCACTCACTCACTAACCTACTCACCCACTCAGTGACTCACCCACCCACCCACTCACTCACTCGCTAACACACTCACTCGCCCACCCACTCACTAACCTACTCACTCACCCACCCACTCACTAACCTACTCACTCACCCACCCACTCACTCGCTAACACACTCACTCGCCCACTCACTCACTAACCTACTCACCCACTCAGTGACTCACCCACCCACCCACTCACTCACTCGCTAACACACTCACTCGCCCACCCACTCACTAACCTACTCACTCACCCACCCACCCATTGACTCACCCACCCACTCACTCACTCACTCGCTATCACACTCACTCGCCCACCCACTCACTAACCTACTCACTCACCCACCCACCCAGTGACTCACCCACCCACTCACTCACTCGCTAACACACTCACTCGCCCACCCACTCACTAACCTACTCACTCACCCACCCACTCACTAACCTACTCACTCACCCACCCACTCACTAACCTACTCACTCATCCACCCACTCAGTGACTCACCCACCCACCCACTCACTCACTCGCTAACACACTCACTCGCCCACCCACTCACTAACCTACTCACTCACCCACCCACTCACTAACCTACTCACTCACCCACCCACTCACTAACCTACTCACTCATCCACCCACTCAGTGACTCACCCACCCACCCACTCACTCGCTAACACACTCACTCGCCCACCCACTCACGAACCTACTCACTCACCCACCCACTCACTAACCTACTCACTCACTCACCCACCCAGTGACTCACCCACCCACTCACTCACTCGCTAACACACTCACTCGCCCACCCACTCACTAACCTACTCACGCACCCACCCACCCACTCACTAACCTTCTCACTCACCCACCCACTCACTAACCTACTCACCCACCCACTCATTAACCTACTCACTCACCCAGTCACTCACTAACCTACTCACTCGCCCACCCACTCACTAACCTACTCACTTACCTACCCACTCACTAACCTACTCACTCACCCACCCACTCACTAACCTACTCACTCATCCACCCACTCAGTGACTCACCCACCCACTCACTCACTCGCTAACACACTCACTCGCCCACCCACTCACTAACCTACTCACTCACCCACCCACTCACTAACCTACTCACTCACCCACCCAGTGACTCACCCACCCACCCACTCACTCACTCGCTAACACACTCACTCGCCGACCCACTCACTAACCTACTCACTCACCCACTCACTCACTCGGCCACCCACCCACTTATTGACTCACCCACCCACTTGCTAACTCATTAATCCACTCATCCACCCACTCAACCACTCATTGAGCCACTCATACTCAGGCAACCACTGACCCAGCCTCTCAACAAGCCTAGCCAATCGATCACCCATTCACCCACTTACTCACGCACCCTCTCGCTCGCTCACCCACACACCCAACCACCCACTCACCTACTCACCCACTCGCTCACCCACACATCCACTCACCCACTCACCTACTCACCCCCCTACTCACCCACTCACCCACTCATCTACTCACCCACTCACCCACACACCCAACCACCCACTCACCTACTCACCCCCCTACTCACCCACTCACACACCTACTCACCCACTCACCCACTCACCCCCCTACTCACCCACTCACCTACTCACCCACACACCCAACCACCCACTCACCTACTCACCCACTCACCCACTCACCTACTCACCCCCCTACTCACCCACTCACCCACTCATCTACTCACCCACTCACCCACACACCCAACCACCCACTCACCTACTCACCCCCCTACTCACCCACTCACCCACTCACCCACTCATCTACTCACCCACTCACCCACACACCCAACCACCCAACCACCCACTCACCTACTCACCCCCCTACTCACCCACTCACCCACTCACACACCTACTCACCCACTCACCCACTCACCCCCCTACTCACCCACTCACCTACTCACCCACTCACCTACTCACCCCCCAGGGCACTCTGCCTGTGTGCGCTGCCTGTAGGAGATGGTGGGACGTCGCGCATGGAGGTGGAGCGATCTCCCCCCCCTCCCCCCTCCTCCTCCTCCTCCTGGGCCCCCCGAACTCGGGGCCCCCCAATCCTGCGAGACCCCCCCACGGACTCCGGAGTGGGGGGCCAGGCCAGCTACTCACCTACTACACCCAGCGGGGGCCTGGTGAGTGTGAGTGGGGGGGGGGGGGTGGTGAGTGGGTGGTGAGTGGGGGGGGGGTGGTGAGTGTGAGTGAGTGGTGAGTGGAGGGTGAGTGAGTGGGGGTGGTGAGTGGGGGGTGAGTGTGAGTGGGGTGGTGAGTGGGGGGTGAGTGTGAGTGGGGTGGTGAGGGGGTGGTGAGGGGGTGGTGAGTGAGTGGGTGAGTGGTGGTTTTAGGGGGTTGGTGAGTGGGTGTTAGTGGGTGGTGAGTGGGTGGTGGGTGAGTGGGGGTGGTGAGTGTGAGTGGTGGTTTGAGGGGGTTGGTGAGTGAGTGTGAGTGGGGTGGTGAGGGGCTGGTGAGTGAGTGGGTGAGTGGTGGTTTAAGGGGGTTGGTGAGTGGGGGGGGGGTGGTGGTGAGTGGGTGTAGAGATGTGTAGCCTCTAGTTGTGACATCTCTGTGTGTGTGGAGATGTGTACGAGATCTCACCGTGACATCTCTGTGTGTGGAGATGGGCGCTGCTGCTACTCGCTACTGACAGCACTTGCCCCTGCAGCCCTGCTCGAGGCTACCCGGGTGACCTTTGTCTTTGTCTCCCCCCCAGCTCACGGGGCTGTCTGGGGGACCCCCACCCCCCCGGCTGTCTCCTGTGCTGCCCGACGCCCAGAGGTCTTCGGGGAGCAGAGGGCAGAAGAAGGACCTGGGCATGATGGGTAAGGCAGCTGCCTCCCCACACGGTGGTGGTGGTGGTGGTGGTGATGGTGGTGATGGTGGTGGTGGTGATGGTGATGGTGGTGATGGTGGTGGTGATGATGGTGGTGATGGTGGTGATGGTGGTGGTGGTGGTGGTGATGGTGGTGGTGGTGGTGGTGATGGTGATGGTGGTGGTGGTGATGGTGGTGATGGTGGTGGTGGTGATGGTGGTGGTGGTGATAGTGGTGGTGATGTTGATGATGGTGGTGATGTTGATGATGATGATGGTGGTGGTGATGATGTTGGTGGTGATGATGGTGGTGATGTTGATGATGGTGGTGATGTTGATGATGATATTGGTGATGTTGATGATGGTGACGATGTTGATGATGATGATGGTGGTGATGTTGGTGTTGGAGGTGATGGTGGTGGTGATGTTGCAGGTCACGTGATTGGGATCTCCATGATGGTGATCATCCTGCTGGCTGGAGGAGGAATCTCCTTCATGTACATCCGCAAGAGGTGAGCCACTCACTCACTCACCCACTCACTCACCCACTCACTCACCCACTCACTCACCCACTCACTCACCCACTCACTCACCCACTCACTCACCCACTCACTCACCCACTCACTCACCCACTCACTCACCCACTCACTCACCCACTCACTCACCCACTCATTCACCCACTCATTCACACACTCATTCATCCACTCACCCACTCACTCACCCACTCACTCACCCACTCACTCACCCACTCACTCACCCACTCACTCACCCACTCACTCACCCACTCACTCACCCACTCACTCGCCCACTCATTCGCCCACTCATTCGCCCACTCATTCGCCCACTCATTCGCCCACTCAATCGCCCACTCATTCGCCCACTCAATCGCCCACTCATTCGCCCACTCACTCGCCCACTCACTCGCCCACTCACTCGCCCACCCACTCGCCCACCCACTCGCCCACCCACTCGCCCACTCATTCGCCCACCCACTCGCCCACTCATTCGCCCACTCATCCGCCCACTCACCACCCCACCCACCCCACTCACTCACCACCCCACTCACTCAGTCACTCACCCTCCCACCACCCCACTCACTCACCCACCCACTCACTCACCCACTCACCCACCCATTCATTCACCCACTCATTCACCCACTCATTCACCCACTCATTCACCCACTCATTCACCCACCACCCCACTCACTCACGCACCACCCGACTCACCCGCCCCACTACCCCACTCACTCACCCACCTACCCACACCCACCACCCACACCACACCCACAGCACCACATCACCCCCGCCC